ACAATTGCATATCATCCAAATTAATACTTCGAATATCCAAAGCATGTTTAGAATCTTGATTCTCTTCCGAAATTTCTTGGTGTTTATTAATCAAATCTCGAATTCTAGAATCTAGTGTTATGCAACATTTTTCTTTTTTAATATTGTTGACCAAATTGCGTACTTGTTTAATCATAACCTGACGAGGCATTTCTAAATTGAATGCTATAATCCATGGTAATCCGAAAAGAGGCACCCCAGTTGTATTCATTATTACCACTGGTAGAGTCCTTGTCTGTGATCCAATCATAACATTGACTTGGGTCTCGCCCTTGACGTCTAACGGATGATCACCATATGCAGTCAATGGACTGGTTGGCCTAATTTTTGGTCGCCCAATACTTGTCCATATATCAATTCCTATCAATGACGCTTGTGCACCAGTGTCAAAATCAAATTCAACATCTAACCCATTTATCTCTGCAGTTAGTTTTGCTCGATTCTCTCGATTTTGTTGAATCTTCCAAATATTATGAATAGAATCACTTGATGACACTCTTATATAATTTAAATTCTTTGATTTACAGCAAACTGCAAAATGACCAATTTTTTTACATTTATTACATGCCGCATTTGTAGCTGGACATCTCACTTCTCGGTTATGAATAAAACCACATTTATAACATTTAAGTTTATTATAATCTTTATCATTATTATATTTGTAGTTATTATTCTCTTTATCAAATGTATTATTATACTTGACTTTATTATAGCCTTTATCAATTGTAGTCGTCGTTTTTATTGGATGTTTATAATTATCATCATTATCATTTCTTTTGTTATTAACATTTATCTTATTAACAACTGGCATATTTTTATTTGCCATTTCTTTATCTGCTCGCTCAGAAGCTAATGCCAGATCAAGAATAAATTGAAAAGTCAGTACATTATTATCTCTATCAAGACCGTCGGGATATAGAGCTCTAAGATCTCTTTCCAATCCCGGTATTTCCATGCCGACCATAAACTGATCACGTAAACGCTCGTCAATATCATTAAGATAATGACAACGCTTGCCAATTGTTCTAATTTTATCTGCAAATTCAGTTATGGTTTCAGTTGTTCTCCGTAATCTAACGAAATCAAATCTAGAAGCAAAAGCTGTTGACGTCGGTTTAAATAGTTTAAAACATATTGACTTAATTTCCTTAAAAGATAAAGTTTCGATCGAATCAGGATAACAAAAACGGTCTACCAACTCAATATTCTTATTGCCAAAAAATGTTAAAAATATATCTTTATATTGACATTCAGATGGGCTTACGTTTTTTAACCGAAAACTGGCTTCCCATTGAGAAAAATATCTGTGGATAGAAGTATCCAACTCGAATTTATCAAATTTAATCGTAGATAAATCCGCTATTTTTTTTGAATCTCCATTTAAGGAATTATTTTCTCCATTTAAGGAATTATTATCTCCATTTAAGGAATTATTTTCTCCATTTATCGTCGCCATTTGTAGTAATACCAACTAAATTATAAACAATACGACTACTAATTTATATTTAAATTAATTTTTAACATCAAACTTTTTATTCTATTTTTCGAATGTTCGATTCTATTTTTCAATATACAATATACATAATTAATCATTTATTAATTTATTACACAAGTATTTTTAAAATGCCTTCCACAAATAATACTATATTTATTAGGCATAAAATTTTTCCTATTTATAGCCTGTAACCATTTTTACAATAATTATTTGGATTTTAATGGAAATCTATATTTAAAAATAGGTGAATAATAATGAGTAAAATATAAGATATATTTATGACATTGATACAAAGATAGATAGTATATAAAAATCAATATAAATATCAGATCAGTTATTAGTAATATAGTATTGAATCAGTGAAAATTTGTTGATTGGCAGAGCCTCTATTAATATATATATGGTTTACATATTTCTTACAAATATTTAAAATGAAACTGTATCATAGTAAATATGTATTTTAAAAATGGCTAACTTAATATTTTATCCAGAAAAATATTTAGGCAAAGTTCAAAATAGAAATCTTATCAACTCAAGAGGAAGAAGCATTATTTGTCCTAGCAATAAAAATGAGAAAACTTTATATTTTAACTAAATAAGGATTTTTTTTCAATGTTTGTAGCTTATTAATGCTTTATGTAATAAATATGTTGCATATAAAAAATAATATATATACTAATGATAAGAAATATGTGTATTAGATTCTATTTTATTTGTTTTATTACAATTATGAACACAGCACACTCCCATTATCTAAATAAAATAATAAAAGTGATATTAAAAGATCTGTTTTGCATGTATCCTAAGATGCATTAACATAAGATTTATAAGTCCATGCAGGATTAGGTTAAACTATATTTTTAAAAATTAAAAGGTGGGTTAGTCTTAGATTTATTTTTTAAATATAATCACCTAGACCACCTTCATAAAAAAAGTCTTATGAAATTTAAGAATAAAAGATACTATAAAATATTATATCATAAATCGAAACCTTTAAAACTAAATTATCGTAGTAGACTTGTTTTCTATATATTAATATTTCTTGCTGACAAATAATGGATAATCAAACTACAAAATGGCGCTACAGCTGATTACAATATGTGGACACTTTTATAAGGCTATTGTTACTTGCAACTATTGTTGCATTTAAAAATTTATAAAAAAAGTAAAACTTTCATTTTTTAAAGAACGCATGTTGTTTTTTTTACCATTAACAATATTTATTTATTTCAAAATAATTTTTTTTTTTTTATAAATAAATATATATTTTTTCATAAATAAAAATTATTTTATTAAAAATGGAAATTGTGAAATAGATACTATTGCAGGTAAAAAATATATTTTTTTATGCCAAATATTTATTTATGGTATTAAATTATAAAAAAAGTAAAATTTTCATTTTTTAAAATAATTTTTTTTTTATTTTGAATAATAGATAACAGCAGAAGAATTCCATGAAAATGACCAAAAAAACAACTCAAAACTTATCTTAATTCTTTTTATACTATAGGCATTACAATAAACTGGATAAATTGAGACTCTTCATAAGCAAATATTTTTATTAAGCTATAAATTATAAATATCTTTTTTTCCTAATTAATTAAAATTTTCATGTTTAATCTAATTTTCACAATATATATGTCTACACTAAAAATAGATAATAGCAGAAGAATTCCATGAAAATGACCAAAAAAACAACTCAAAACTTATCTTAATTCTTTTTATACTATAGGCATTACAATAAACTGGATAAATTGAGACTCTTCATAAGCAAATATTTTTATAAAAATTATAAATATGTTTTTTTCCTAATTAATTAAAATTTTCATGTTTAATCTAATTTTCACAATATATATGTCTACATAGATAATAGCAGAAGAATTCCATGAAAATGACCAAATAAACAACTCAAAACTTAGATAAATAGATTATATCTTAATTCTTTTTATACTATAGGCATTACAATAAACTGGATAAATTGAGACTCTTCATAAGCAAATATTTTTATTATAAATTATAAATATGTTTTTTTCCTAATTAATTAAAATTTTCATGTTTAATCTAATTTTCACAATATATATGTCTACATAGATAATAGCAGAAGAATTCCATGAAAATGACCAAATAAACAACTCAAAACTTAGATAAATAGATTATATCTTAATTCTTTTTATACTATAGGCATTACAATAAACTGGATAAATTAAGACTCTTCATAAGCAAATATTTTTATTAAGCTATAAATTATAAATATGTTTTTTTCCTAATTAATTAAATTTTTCATGTTTAATCTAATTTTCACAATATATATGTCTACATAGATAATAGCAGAAGAATTCCATGAAAATGACCAAATAAACAACTCAAAACTTATCTTAATTCTTTTTATACTATAGGCATTACAATAAACTGGATAAATTGAGACTCTTCATAAGCAAATATTTTTATTAAACTATAAATTATAAATATGTTTTTTTCCTAATTAATTAAAATTTTCATGTTTAATCTAATTTTCACAATATATATGTCTACATAGATAATAGCAGAAGAATTCCATGAAAATGACCAAAAAAACAACTCAAAACTTATCTTAATTCTTTTTATACTATAGGCATTACAATAAACTGGATAAATTGAGACTCTTCATAAGCAAATATTTTTATTAAGCTATAAATTAGAAATATCTTTTTTTCCTAATTAATTAAAATTTTCATGTTTAATCTAATTTTCACAATATATATATTTAGTCTACACTAAAAATAGATAACAGCAGAATAATTCCATGAAAATGACCAAAAAAACAAAATAGATTATATCTTAATTCTTTTTATACTATAGGCATTACAATTCTGGATAAATTGAGACTCTTCATAAGCAAATATTTTTATTAAACTATAAATTATAAATATGTTTTTTTTCCTAATTAATTAAATTTTCATTTTTTAAAGAACGCATGTTGTTTTTTTTACCATTAACAATATTTATTTATTTCAAAATAATTTTTTTTTATTTATAAATAAATATTTTTTTTTTCATAAATAAAAATTATTTTATTAAAAATTAGCTCTCCATTTTTTTTTATAATTAATTAAAGTCAAATATGATCGAATTAAACCCTACTGGAAATTGTGAAATAGATACTATTGCAGGTAAAAAATATATTTTTTTAAGCCAAATATTTATTTATGGTATTAGTCCCTCCTATGATCGAATCAAGCCCTACTGGAAATTATGAGATAGATACAACTCTTGCAGGTAAAAAATATTATTTATTATTATTACATACCTTTTGAAGTAAATGTTAGATATTCGTCATTCTTCACTTTAAAAGAATGGCTAAATAAATACGAAATTTCTAATGCGACAAATTATTCAATACACCGTTCTAAAAAATCGAAGGACCCAATACTTAAGTCTACAATAATGTACGAACGACTTTATTACCAATGTTATGAGGGCAAGATCAGACCATCCAAATCAAAAGGTTTTAATTTTTATTAACCCTTCAATACATACACCAGTGAAAAAAATGACGTTATTAGTACTCCGGTGGGGTTTAATAGACCCCAATTTCAAATGTATATATCTCCAGTTATATTCATTATTTTGATTTAATATTTGAATATAAGATAGAACTAACCTTAAACTTGTTATGATTTCAGGTTTTTGTTGGTTATTATTATCAATATTTTTATTATGATGGAATGTTGATAGCATTATGACATTTTTTCTTTTTTTTGGAACATGATAATAATGTTATGTTTTCCTGAAATGCATTTTAGCTAATTTTAATTTGCCTAAATAATACTTAACGGAGTATAAAAGGGTTAAAGTATATATTAAAATTTTTTAAAGGAAAAAGACAAAGATTGTCTGTCAAGAAAAATTGTTTATCCAGAATTTCTTTTGCCAAAGATGGACCATATCTAAAATGTATCAGTATACATGATATACATAATCATGATAGAGGTTTTATTATTTTTAAATGTATATAACATAATTTATTTATAGATCTATCTTTGTTCATGGCATCTTGCCGGCAAAGACAATTGGATGGTGATCAAAAGTCAATAATTCACCAAGCTCTTAAATATGATGGAAATCTTACATTGATACATCAAGAAATGAAAAGAAAGAATTTAAATATAACCAAAAGGGATTTATATAATCTAAAACATCAATATATGAAAAATCCATGTAGTGTTAATGATCTGGAAGATCTGATTAAAACTATAAAATTAGACATAACCAATATTGTGGAATTATTTGAAGAAAATGGCATATTTAAAGCCTTATATTATCAAACTAAAAAAATGCAAGATCATTATTTGCGATATCCAGAGGTGGTGTTAATTGATGCAACATATAATTTAAATTCCTACCACTTGCCAGTTTTCACTTTGGGTGTAATAGATGGTGAAGAGAATACCAGAATAGTTGCAATCTGGTTAGTTTTATCAGATAGCTCCACCACAGTTAAAAATATGTGCCAGATTTTTAAAAATTATAATAATGTTTTCCTAAAAACTCTTACAATTATATCTGATAAAAATTTTACAGAAAGAGCAATCTATCAAGATGAATTTCCCAATGCTAAATTGGAAATTTGTATTTTTCATGTTCTACAAATATTCAAAAGACAGTTAACAACAATAAAATATAATTTAACAATAATTCAAGTCAAAAAAATGCATGTCCTATTTAGACGTTTAATTTATGCAGAAACCCCTGGCATATATTGGAAATATTATTATTATTTAAAAAATTCAAAATATCAAAAGGTATTTTTATACTTTGATACAAATTGGCATGGAATTCGTGAGGAATTCTGCTTGGCATGGAGAAATAAATCAGTAAATTTTGATAATTTTACAAATAATAGAATTGAAGGGACAAATCGTGCCCTAAAACGAATTATTAAAAGGAATTCTTCCTTACATATTTTTTATAAAAATTTAAATGAATATTTAAATTGTTTGGAGGACAAGAATAAAGATATAATCCTTACAAATAGTAGACTTAATTATACAAGTCTGCCACCATCTTCCCCACAATTTTTATTCTCCAAATTATTGACTCTAAAAGCTTATAAAAGAGTCAACCTTGAAATAAAATATTCTTTTAATATAACTTATGAAGATTTCAATGTTAGTGAAAATTTATGTAATTGTGGTTTCCAGCAAAGGTATCTTTTACCTTGTAAACATATTTTCAGATACAGGGAAGATAACAATATCTCCCTCTATGATGATTCCTTATGTGCTTTAAGGTGGTGGAAGGAATACAATTTATACCCATATTTAAGTGAAAATAGTATAAATTATGAAGAAAGGGATGATAATATTGATATAGAAATTATTTCAAAAAATACTAAAAATAAATGTGAATCAACAGATATAGAAATATATAAAATGACACAAGAATATTTTCAAAATAATATTGGCAACTTTATTAAGGAGCTACCAAATGACCTGATGATTATATGCTTTCAGGAATTAAAAGAAACATGTGAAAAGGTATGTAACCTAGAATATCTTAAAAGCAAAAAAAGAATAAATACATTGGAAAACAAAGAGAATATTAATAGTTTACCATCATCTTCGAATTCCTTAGAATTAGTTAAAAATTTAAAAATGCCTGAAAAAATAAATAGAAAAAAATGCAGTACACTATTTTTAACAAAAAAAAAGTTTTAAATAAAGAAATAGATAATGAAATCGATCTTTCTATAATGCAGGATATCACGAATCAAGAAAATCTACAATTATCCAAAGAGAATCTAGAACTACCCAAAGAAAATCTACAATTATCCAAAAAGAATATAGAACTACCCATACAGGATCAATTACAATTACCTAAAACCTTGTCATTTCACAAATTGCATTCAAAATTATTATAATTGTATCTATTTTTATTATAATATATTTAAATAGTGTAATCATATTTAAAATACAAATGTTATGAAAAAGAAATAAATATTCAGTTTATTGTAAAAAGAATTAAGATATAATCTATTTATCTAAGTTTTGAGTTGTTTTTTTGGTCATCATGGAATTCTTCTGCTATTATCTATTTTTAGTGTAGACTAAATATATATTGTGAAAATTAGATTAAACATGAAAAATTTAATTAATTAGGAAAAAAACATATTTATAATTTATAGTATAATAAAAATATTTGCTTATGAAGAGTCTCAATTTATCCAGATTATTGTAATGCCTATAGTATAAAAAGAATTAAGATATAATCTATTTTGTTTTTTTGGTCATTTTCATGGAATTATTCTGCAGTTATCTATTTTTAGTGTAGACTAAATATATATATTGTGAAAATTAGATTAAACATGAAAAATTTAATTAATTAGGAAAAAAACATATTTATAATTTATAGCTTAATAAAAATATTTGCTTATGAAGAGTCTTAATTTATCCAGTTTATTGTAATGCCTATAGTATAAAAAGAATTAAGATAAGTTTTGAGTTGTTTTTTTGGTCATTTTCATGGAATTCTTCTGCTGTTATCTATTATTCAAAATAAAAAAAAAATTATTTTAAAAAATGAAAATTTTACTTTTATATAATTTAATACCATAAATAAATATTTGGCATAAAAAAATATATTTTTTACCTGCAATAGTATCTATTTCACAATTTCCATTTTTAATAAAATAATTTTTATTTATGAAAAAAAATATATTTATTTATAAATAAAAAAAAAATTATTTTGAAATAAATAAATATTGTTAATGGTAAAAAAAAACAACATGCGTTCTTTAAAAAATGAAAATTTTACTTTTTTTATAAATTTTTAAATGCAACAATAGTTGCAAGTAACAATAGCCCTTTTATAATGCATTGAATGAATGAATCGCCAATCTATAGTTATATATATCATTGTTACAACGTTTACCTATTAATAAACTGATAAAAATGATTAAAATTTATTATTTATTAGATAATAAAGAAAGAAGAGCTACTGATTTTGAACTCCTTTAAATAATGGAAATAGAAGCAACTGATAAATATGATTACAATTTATTATTTATTAGATAATTATAACTTATAAATAAAATTAATTGATAATTTGGTCAGAATATTATATTTTATTATACATCTATATTATAATTATACATAAGTTTTAAACAAATAAATATTTATTTATAATTATTAAATTATATTGAGTAATTAGATTTTGAATATTCTTTTCTTTTGTTATATATTATCCATCATGATACAAGCACAAATTCCCTTTTGAAGTTGGAATATATTGTATATCTAAAAATTACAGTGTCAAAATATAAATTATTTATAATCAGATTATGTAAATATAATAATCAGATTATGTAAATGTAATAATCAGATTATGTAAATGTAATAATCAGATTATGTAAATGTAATAATATAATTTATTTACTTAAATTTTCTTTGTTGGAATTATGTAAGTCTAATAAAATTCCTGCATTGTTAATGTCTTCCAGGTCTAATTATATTAAAATATAATTTAAAAAAAATATTTGTAATCTACTTGTAAAAGTAGTTTGATTATTAGTGTGGTTAAATGCAAAACTTTGTATTTGGGCCACATTTGTTAATATATCTAAAAAAATGTTTATTAATTTATACAATTATTTTTATTACTTGAAATTGGAGGGTAAAAGTTATCTCTAGTAATTGGTTGTAATATTTGGGGCTGTATATGTTGTGGTTGTATTTGTTGAATTGTATTAGCTTGTTTATTCAAAAATAATTATTTTATTTGTTACTTATTGATTACTAGATGAGCTACTGGGTTGGCTAATATTCTGATCTATATTACACTGAGAATCTTTATCTAAATTAATGTATGTAATCTAGATAAGTTTAGTATTAAATATACCTTCAGCTGTTAGATGATTTTGTGTCACTCTAAAAAAATATTTTTTTAAAAATCAAATTAAATATATCATACTTTGTAATGATTCATTTCTTCTTTTAAAAAATAGTCTTAAATTATCAGCTACAGTATTAAGCATAATGTTTTTAAATGATTTTAATTTACCGCGATTAAATAGACCAATCAGAGAAAAATGGACAAAATTTACGATCAAATGACTTTACGATCAAAGTTAGGCAAATCCAATTCTCATATTTAAATGTAGAACAGCCATATAATTTTATTCTTTCCCCGAAAAAAACGTAATTAATTATATTCAAATAAATGTCTATATATTCATCATAAATTTGTCTGCATAGTATATGTTAAAATATAGTTTTTTTCAAATTATAATGTTAGAATAGAATCTGGCCATATTATTACTAATTAAATATTATATTTCATTAAAGGATATTTGTAGCTTATTAAATTTTATTGTCATTTAAATTCCAAATTTTTGAAAATTATATTTTAAAATAAAACTTTATTATTCATATTTTTTGTATCATGTCTATCTAAATAAATATATGGAAGGAGAAAATTGATAAAAGAAATGTAGAATCTAAAAATAATCATTATTTTATTCAAATAATCAATTTCAATTTTTTAACTTAAAACAATCGATTAATTAATTATTAGACTTTTATATGTCTTGGTCAATCATAGGTTTTAATTAAATAGGTTAATAAATTAAGCCGGCAACCGACAGATGTTCAATCCTAAGTATGATCCGAATAAAAATGATAAAATCTGCCTCTTTCAAAAAATATAGAGCTTACAATTTAAATAAATATGTTATAGTAACCAATGACATATAATAATACCTAGACTGACGATTCATTCATTAAAATGCATTTTTAAGCGTCGTTAAAAGCAAATCAGCTGGACCCGCCATTTTGGTAACAGATATCATTATTAAAATTTTAAACGAGAGCCTAATTTATTACTATATCTGAAATTTTTCCTATGATACTTAACAAAGAATTTAAATCCACATCCATCTGCATTAATGGTACCATCAAGGATCCTATCCCACAAATATTCCAAAGCTATTCTTCCAAGAAGATATATATTTAGCAGACCAAATTCAAATAATTTAAAATTATATGACTAAATTATTAAAATTTATATTTTAAACATTTTTTTATACATAGAATATAAAGTATCTAATAAAGTTCCCTTACTTATCATTTGTTTTTCTTAAGACACAATATAATTGTTTTTAGTTTCTATTCTATTCTTAAAATATCTAATAAGGTAGATATATTTAAATCATTGCTTAAATTTATGTTTATCTTAATATGAGACTTTACTTGCCCTTTTAATATTTCGAATCATACAAGGTAATAAACTGAATCATCAGGATTTTTATTATAAATATTCATATTGTTTGGCTTAAACATCTAAACATAAGTTAATTTTTAAAGAATTCTAGCTAAAAATTTACATTATGATATTAATAAAAAAGTAATATATAACTTAGAAATCCAGAATATTAGGCATCCTCTCCAATATTTTTCTTAAATAATAAATGTAAAGTTCTCTCAATTTTAAAGTTGTGATCCTGAATCTTAAAAATAGAGGTATTTCTTTTTTTTTAAATATAAAGTTAATGTTTAATCTTCAGATTCTCAATAATATATATATTATAAAAAATATGTTATATTATTAAAGAAATACAATATGAATTTAATATTTTAATCAGTTGTGCTAATTGGATCATATTGATTTAATAGATTAGGATAAATTATGTATTGCAAATAAAAAATTATTTTTCCTTATATTATATTATCCAGTTTATTTTATCAATAAAAAAAATATAGATTAAATAAATTAAAACATTTCTAAGACTTCAGATAAATTTAGCTTAATCTTACCTATTTATTTTTTGAAGAATTTCATAACTTAATATTATGAGATTATTAATCTTATGATGAAAATCAATAATTGTTTATTATAAATTAATAAATAGAAATAATATTCATGAATTACAAAAAGGATTTATAGATATTATTTATATTTAAATATATATAGTTACAATATATATCTAATATCATTTAAATTAAAAAAGATTATATAGATATATTTATTGTCCTTTAAATAGAATGGTTTTGGTCAGCTTCTGACGAATGTTGGTATTTTCATTTTTATTTTGTTTATCTGCAAAATGATAAAATCTTATGTTTATGTAACGTTCAACTATTAATCTAATTAATTTTTGATAATGGCTAGATGTTTCTTCTTGATCTAGCATGTGATCAACCAGATTATCAAAAATATTTGTTTCTATCACTTTTGAAATCACAAAAGATACTATTCGTTTAAATATACAAGGCCTATTAATTTGATTATTATGTTCAAATGTACGGAAACCACTTCCAGCATATTGGCATAATCTAGATACATCTCTGGAAGGAATTATTAATCCCTGATTGTTTTTAATTTTAATTAAATTATAGCTCTCTTGATCTTTACAATTTTTAACAATCATTGCAGAAATACATATATAACACTTTACCTTATTTTCGGATATAAGTTTACGTGTTATATATCCTGATATATAAGTTGCGATGTTATCAACGAATGGCGATAATTTTTGGATATCTGGAACATCTATAAAAGAAAAATCTATAGCTTGTATATTGTCATATTATCATTATCTTGATAATCTCCACAAAAAAGATTTGTATTATCGAGTGGAATACAATTACCTGTGCATAAGGCTCCCATCTTTGCTATCATAACGCCTCTTATAACTGATCGTAATTGATAGGCAGAAGGGTTATTATTAAAACCTCCTCTGCTACGTAAACAGCTAAAGAAGAGCTCTAGTTGATCTTGAGATGTTTTGTAGGTTAAAAGATATCTAAAATATGAAAAGCAATAAATATACAAAATATATATAATGCTAAATAAAATACTTGAGTTTGGGGTTAGGTCCTAATAATAATTCCCTCCCAATTCCCAAAATGCTTTTCATTGACAAGATTAAGCCTATAATGCAGACTTTTTTTTTGATCTATAAGCGTATTTTCCACTTTCAAACTTTAAGAATTTTAAAGTTGTAATGCACATCTCAAAAAAATTTTCATAATAAGAAAGTGAATTTGTAGTTAGTGGTTTTTTAAACCCTTTAGCAACTATGTTCCGTGTATTTAAAAAGTCAAACATTCTATAAAAATATTATTTAAAATATTAATATATTTTAATACTGATCAATCATTTTAATAAAGTCAACTGTGCTCTCACAATTTTCAAACCCATCAATCTTTAGCTCTTGTGCCAAAAGAATACCTTTTGCCACTGAGCTAAACTTGTACAGCAAGTTTAACCTTTAAAAAATATAAGTAAATACTTTCATTTTTTGTTTGTGATAGTCAATATGAGATTTATTAATTTTATTAGCAGCACGAAGTCCTTCTTTATCTTGTAAATTGTGAAGATTAGCTATATATTTCTAATTTATTATCTATTAATTTATAAAAATATATATTTTAATAGTAATTTAATTACTGATCCATTATTATAAATTAAAATTTTTTTATCACCGAGAAGATTTCTCAACAACTTAATCATGTGGCATACGTCCAACATAATGTAGACTTTTTCATCAAAATTTAATGGGTGAGTAAAATAGGGTATACATAGATCAGGATCTATAGATGCACCAAGTAGTTGGTACATTTTTATATTAGCCGCCAAACCATCACATACTATAACTTTACAGGAAGTGCCTGTATCATGTAATAAATGAATAGCATTAGTGACTATATTAGCAAGCAAATCTCCAGTAGTATTTGATACTAAGAAGTATCCTATGGAATTTTCCATGTACCATTAAGACATGTTGCCATAAGAAAAAGAGCCTGTTTGGCTTTAGGAAGAGAATCAGATGGTTTGATTTCATTGCCCAAATCAACATATCCATGGTACTCCTTTTTGTCCCATTGTACAATATGACGAATGGACATTTCATTAAGGCTTAATGTGGTGAGTAATTTTACTTTTGAATCAGATTGAAATCTTTTAATTCTATCAAAAGAAGCATCGAGAAAACCTAAAATCAAATTATTAATATTTTAATTAATAAAATATAAACCTGGCCTTATTTTAATTTGTTGGCTCCAGGTTCTCAATGTAGATTCTGATGGTAGGCAAAATTGATCCCTTAAGTATTTATATGCTTTTGGAGAATAAAAATGAACAGTGGAGGCAAACTGTTTCATTTCTTGGGAAAATTTTATTCTCCATGGATTTTTTATGCCTCCACTGTGTAATTGGGTTTTGATAAAAGCTAAAGGGATGCCTGTAAAAAATTTTTCCAATTGATCCTCCCCTTCACCATATATTAAATTTTTATTCTTCAATTGTTTAATAATTGATTTTAAATCGATAATCTTCTTATTTCTTATAGTTTCCCTCTTATAAGAGGCGCTCATTTTTTTTCTTAATTTTAAAATATATTTATCTTGATATTTGATCTTTCTTGATAAGAATGATAAATTGGCTGTATATATATGATCATTGGCTATTGTTTGTGAAGCATATTTTCTCTTAATTAAAATATAGACAAATAAAAAATCTCACAAGGATTTTAATAAATAGGGCTTACATGACTAGCAGGTTTCTCCAAATCTACATCTTCAAGAATATTAATAGTGTCAATTGTTTTTGAATCATTCTTATAAAAATATGTTTTATAATATAAATATTGTAATAAATATTAAAATATAGACAAATAATAAATCTCACAAGAATTTTAATAAATAGGGCTTACATGACTAGCAGGTTTCTCCAAATCTACATCTTCAAGAATATTAATAGTGTCAATTGTTTTTGAAACATTCTTATATAAATATGTTTTATAATATAAATATTGTAATAAATATTAAAATATAGACAAATAATAAATCTCACAAGAATTTTAATAAATAGGGCTTACGTGACTAGCAGGTTTCTCCAAATCTACATCTTCAAGAATATTTAAAGTGTCACTTGTTTTTGGAAAATATTTTCTCTAAAAAAATATTTTTTTTAAATAAAAAGGTTATTATTTTTTGAAGTAATATTATTTAACCTTTCTGGTAAAGGTATAGTTATTTGCAGCATAGTTATGATCAATTTTTTTTATAGAGTTTGATATTGTAATAGTATTATTCAGATTATTTGTTATCTTTGAAGAATATTTCATAATAAATATATATATGAATATTTTATCATCTTTGGAAATAAGATATTATGTTTTTCGACATAAAGGGAACTCATTTAAAAAAATATTAACATTAGTGTAAAAAGTGATATTTTTTATTTAAAACTTAAAACACTCTTATAAGGAGATCAAAGTTTTCGAGTACTTAATCCTATATGTTTTACCTCCTAATGACTATGTCTCATGATGGGTTAGGAAAATAAAATATTTATATTATAATCATACATCCTGAAGAGGAATGGGTATTTTGAAAATGGTAGGTATAGATCCTTCCTTTAAACTTCGTAGCCCCGTAACAGATGGAATAAAACTATCAATGGTGAAATGATCACCACATATTTTGGAATATTTAGTGGGGTTGAAGTTTTTTCTATTGATTGCCTTTAACCATTTTGATAATAAGATATGATTCTTTAGAGGGAATCTGGAGATAAATTTAATATTCAAATATTCTTTATACATATAAATAATAAATCTACCTATGAAAAGATTTTCTATTATTACTAGATTTTGAATTGCAAGATATTGCACAACAAAAACTCATCTAATTCTTACATAAATGAAAAACAAACCATTATCAAATATCAATCATAAATTATTAATATACTTGGAAAATATGAGTGGCAAATATCTTCAAATATTGAAAAATCTTTTTAAAATAACATATTTACAAATAACATCAATCTTAATCATAAAATTAGGATAATATATATTTGTTTTTTTAATTCCAAAAAATTAGAAAATATATAGCAGCTTTTTACATGAGAATAATTACTTTATAGGTTACCAAAATGGCGTCCCCCAATTATAAATATAAATTTTTATATATTAATTTGTGCTGTAAAGTAATGTAAAAGAAGTAATGTAGTTACTAATGTCGTTACCTTGAATTTTATTCAAAAAACATCTATTTCAGAGGTGATTATTAGCAGTGAATATTATATATTTCAAATCTTACAATTATTATTTTGCTTATGAATTTTTTTTAAAATTTACAGATAAGAAATAATTATAATTTTATTAAATGATATATAGAAAAATAAGTTATATTATTCAAATAAAACAATTTTAGAAAGTTTATGTTCTCCAATTGAAGAGAGAAAATTAGGTAAGTCTCTTCCTCTTCTCTCTTCTAAAAAATCAATACATAAATTTTTCAAAATATTTTTTTTTGTATGGTAACTACGATTTTTTTGAGTGTATGTCCCAATACTCCATTGGCCGATTTTGCCCATGTCGACGGCTATTTCCATCCTCATCTTTTCAATTAGTTTCCATATCTTAGGTTTTTGTGGCTTATAATATGCTGAAAATTGTTCCACCCTTCACATACATTATTTATTCGATTTTCCCCAGAAATCATAACGTTGAATTAAAATCTATTCTATAAAATTTATCATGTTTTCTTTTTTTTTCCGGGTAATTATTTTCCTCTTACTATAGCGGCCCCACTATGGGGAGGGTGAGGGGTATTTTTACAGAATAAAAAAAAACATTTTATTTTCTATACACAAACAGACACCGTGGCATCCCCTTAGTTGTGATGATTTAATGAAACATATACCATTCATATAAAATTATTTTCTTTGCTAAAATAATTAAAATAAAACACTTGTAATTTATAAAAAAATTTAACTTAATTACAACTTGTAATTAAGTTAGTTAGATTACCGGGGATTATTAACTGTGAATAAAAAAAGTTTTGAAGATGGTTAAGTAACTATATATAAACTAATAATTATATAAGAGAATTTAACATAGTCTGGAAGAGAAAAAATAGTTAAATCAAACAAACTCTGCCAAAATCATCGCAATTTGAACAAATATTTGAATTGTTATTTAGAAAATAGGATTAATGTAGAAAAAATAATAAAGCCTACTAATTTATAATTAAATTTAATTGTAAAATAAGATTTAAAAGATTAGTAAATGAGATTTATTTTTTCTTAGTTTACCCAAGGTAGAGTAGAGCTGTGCAAATTCAATTTTATTTTGCCTGATTGCAATTTATTTTGAAACCCTATCTCAGTTTATACCTATTGATCTTTAGGCACTACTAGCACCTTTCTCCTTACTTTAGCTCTGAGATAAAAAGCATTTTAATTTTTATATAAAGTTAAATTTAATTAAACCATAATTAGATCCGATTAAAAAAATTTTTATCCCGAAGTTGACTTGCTTGCAGGGCTATGCTATTTAACAGTTATAAACAACTCCTGGTCTGGACCCCATGTCTGAACCTCTAATTTGTACTCAGAGCAGGCTTGAGCACAAATTTGATTCGTAAATTTGACGACCAAGCAAATTAACAACACTTGTGAATCATTTTTAAAATTTAGACGCAACACGGCTCGAATTTTCTATAAGAGCTTGGAAGGGAAAAGTTACTTCAAAATATTTTTTTTTATCGATTGATTAAATTTGAGGAGGCATCTTATAATACCTTAACTATTTCGTTTTTCTCTCCCTTTTCTCATTATATACTATGTGTCCGCTTTAGACTCCAAATATTGTTAAAAATATTTAAAAAATAAAATTTAATTGTACTATAAAATTATTAATTTTTTATTAGTGTTGACAATGAAAAGCCAAATAACGATGTACACTTTAAAACCATTTCAAAAATTACATTTTCTAAGTATAAGCTATTGTGGAATAAAATAAGGGAAATCTTCAAACTCTGCAGCCATTTTTAAGGGAAGCATGGGAAATAAATCTTTCTATAACTCCTAGAAATTAATAGATAGTCTTATTAAGGATAATTGCATATGACGATTCTTATGATAAATCTGAATTACAGAGGTTTTCAGATAAAGACAAGTTGTTCAACGCGCGTTCCTTTTTTAAGGTAACCTTAACGCGTTTTTTTCAGATGTCGCGTAATTGTAACGCGTTTCTTTTTTGTAGTAACGTTTACAGCACTAGAAATAATTACACACTTTTGTTTTAACATATTAATAAAAAATAATATTTTAATATGATATACTGTATTATATTAACTATTCAATTTTTAACTATCCACTTAAAGATCTTCCTAAATATATACACATTCCACTATCAATGTAAATTTATTATAGCTTAGAATCAGATGGGTTCAGAAATTACAAATTAATCTTTTACATCTGACAATTAACATAAGCCAGATTGTCTACATTCTGTTATTAACAAAAATAATATATATTAATTAATTTATTATCATAAATTATTTTATCGATGATTATATATTTAAATATATTCTTTCTATATTTTATTTAATTAAATATTATATATATTTAAATATTACTTTTTATATAATTTAATATTACTTTATATATATATATTTAAATATTACTTTAGATATATTTAAAAATTTTATATTTAATTAAATATTCATAAATATATATTTCATAAATTATAATATAAATATTTTAAAATTAATAAATTTAAATGTTAAAAATGTCTTGTTTGTATTCACCATCTTTCTTTTTTTTTGACGCTAAATCAGCTGTGGGAATATTTCGGCCCCGAACCTAAATTTTGCAATTATAATGAAGAGTGTATCAAGATCAATTGTAAATAATATATCTTTCTAATATCTTAATTTAATCAATTTTAGATAAAGTATATTAAAACATAGCCAATTGCTGGCCTACACAGTAATTGTATATTATTATTGAAAAATTTATATATATTTGATAGCATTATAACAACGATTAATTTATAAACTGGCATAAAAACTTGTGCCTATATGAAAAATTTATATATATTTGATAGCATTATAGCAACGATTAATTTATAAACTGGCATAAAAACTTGTGCCTATTGCAAACAAAATAATTGCCTAAATACACTGAAATATTCTTTATTTACATTGAATAATATATTATTTATTGTAATTAAGTTTATTTAAATCTTTGCTAACTTAAAAAATTTTAAAAAAATATTGCAAATTTTTCTATATGATAAATTTCAGTATTGCAAACAAAATGATTGCCTAAATACACTGAAATATTCTTTATTTACATTGAATAATATATTATTTATTGTAATTAAGTTTATTTAAATCTTTGCTAACTTAAAAAAATATTGCAAATTTTTTCTATATGATAAATTTCAGTATTGCAAACAAAATGATTGCCTAAATACACTGAAATATTCTTTATTTACATTGTATAATATATTATTTATTGTAATTAAGTTTATTTAAATCTTTGCTAACTTAAAAAAATATTGCAAATTTTTTCTATATGATAAATTTCAGTATTGCAAACAAAATGATTGCCTAAATTCACTAAAATATTCTTTATTTTAATTGAATACTATAAATTAAATTTTTGGATATGGACTTAGGCCATTTATTATATATATTATTTTTTTATTCATTTCAATAGTTGTTTTTGATACCAAAATTAGCCTTCGTTTCCCCAATCAAATGACGAAAGACAATAAAAATCAAGTATATAAATTTTGTTTAGTATATTTCTATTCATTTTAATAGAATTCGATGAGATACAGGATTATATCTTTTACCAAAAATATCCATCATCTATGTCTTACAATAAAAGCTTAAGACGCAATCTGCGAGTTCAGGCTTCGAGATATAAAATTTGTAATGGTAAAATGCATCACCATTCTTATAATGGTGAAGTCATTTTGGACATTGACCGAAAAATTCAACTTCTTCAAATGGTTCACAGTGGATGTGATACTAATGTGTCAGCAATATCTCTTGCTGCCCATTTTGGTATCACCAAGACTTACAGCAAATTGGCTGATAGGTAAAATATATAAAAAAAAAATATTATATGATCAATAATATATTTTTAGATATAATACACAATAATAAATTGTTTCACCATTTTTATAATAGTGAAACAATTTTAGATTGTAACAGAAGAGTTTAACTCCTTTAAAATGTTATAGTGGAGTGGATGTGATACTAATGAGGCAAAATCTTTAACTGACCATTTTGGTATCACCAAGACTCACAGCAATTTGACTGGTAGGTAAAATATTTTTGCATAATATATCTATTTATTATATCATGTATTATATTTTTAGCTTCTGGTGGCCAAATATGAAATTGGATGTTGTTAATTTTGTAAAATGTTGTGACATTTGCCAGCGTAGCAACACAAGATTTAACAAAACTAGTAATGAGTTGCATTCAATTCCTATTCCAACAAAGGTAGTAAAGTTGATTACATAACAAATCCTTAATTTGAAAATTTTTATAGTTTGCATTATAATTGTATCTAATTTTTGTTTATGTATTTTCAGAGTTGTTAAAGTATCTAGATATAAAAATGCGGTATCTGTATCTAGATAGATTTTTGAATAAAGTATCTATATCTAGATATTATTTTAGAGGTATCTGTATCTGTTTTTAGATACTTTTAAATATACATTTTGATATACTTCTATTTAACGCTTTTTTATATTATAAATAAAAATACTTGAATGTAAAATTTATTTTATTTGAGCATATAACTATATTAATATATATATTAAAAAATTATATATATATATATGTAAATTATTAAAACTTATATATAAAAAAGCATA